TTACATTCTGTCTGTAAATTCCTTCCCAGCTTAATTCTGTTAGGGTTTGTATGGATGTGTTTTTGTAAATGTTAAAATAATCTGTTTAACCTCAGGGTATTGGTCTACAGGTCTGTTAGTCCATCTGTCCATCCATTATTTTTGTCCAGACTAAAATACAGTATTTTGACAACTATCAGATGGATTGCCAAAATTTGGTACAGACATTCATGGTTCCCACACAATGTGCCCTTGAGACTTTGATGAGCCCTGACTTTTCCTCTAGTACTGAGTATATGGGTTGCCATGAAATTTGATTCACACATTTTTGTCTTCCAGTGCATTTGGGAAAAAAAACAAACAAACAAACAAAAAAAAACTTTGGTGATCTTTCATTTTCCATCCATCAGCAAGTCACATTTTAAATTTAGCTGTGGAACTCCCAGGCTGATAATCTCAGGCGGCCAAACTCAATATCTTATTTTCATCTTGTGGCCTTTTATCTTGTTTGATCTTTTACGTTTTGGGTTTATTTCCTTTTTTCCCCTAAATTCGTGTTTTTACTGAACTACATTTTGTAACTTTATTTTTGAAAGGTGTTAAATGAATGAACTTATTATGACAACACACCTGCAAAATTATTGACATTCCAACAAATGCCAGCTTGCTAACTCATAAAATAAGACGGTGAACATGGGAGGCATTTTACCTGCTGAACATCAGCATGTTGGCATTGTCATTATGAATATGTTAGCATGCTGACATTAGCATTTAACTCAAGGCAAAACATGCTGAGGTATGACTTCAGCTGATTTGTACCAGTCGTGGGCATGATTGTGTTGTGATATGCAGGTGTGTGTGTTACCTGATGCAGAGCGCGTCATTCTTTCTTCAGTGTCAGACACTTCTGCCAGACAGCTCCATGCAGCCAGGAGGAGCACAGTCAGAGAAAACCTTCAAACAACAAGAGTCACATGATGAACAAACATGAAATGTTGCTGTTCTTCTGCATCAATGGAGAATAAAACTAGGTGCACTTAAGGATTAAGTTTTTTTTAATTCTACAGGTAGATAATTAAGCACTTCATTTGCAACAGCTTACACAATAGTACAAAGTAATTATTGGAAAATTCAAGTTAGAGAGCTTTTTAAAAAGATAGATCAGACCTTTCGTGATAAAATTATGCTCAGATTTACAGATTGTAACCTTTTTGTTGTAAGTAACGATGAGGCTCGGCTAAGAATTTTTTTTAAACACTACTAACATTTGTTAAAAAGAAGAGAGATTTATATTCAGGTGTCTTCAGAGAGATTTAAAAATGACTGACAAAAGAATATTTTAACTTACCCCATTTTGTTGATAACATTCATCTTCGGTGATGGTTTTTAATCTCTGCTCTTGAGTGTGTTATGCGTTTGGAGCTGGGAGTATTTATATCTGCAGAGTCCTGGAAATTCCTGCTCAGCACAAAAACGTTGCGTCCTGGAACCTGAGATAAATCGGTTGCGAAATCTCACTGTCCACAGTCTGGACTCAAGAAAAAGAACATCTATCTGTTATTAAAATTTGTGGCACCTGCAGCACAGGCTTCTTATATGAAACAGGAAATTCAGCTCAGTCTGTAAAAGCGCACAGCACAGCAAAACATTTGAGATCTTTCTTTCTCGTTCATGTTTTAATTCATATGAGTTGAGTTCTGCTCTATTCAGCTATTTTTTTTTTAACCGTTAAGCTCAGTTGCGGACCCTGTGTTGATTGTTGGTAATGATTGTAATTTATTTACTTGAAATAAATAAATTATTTCAAATATCTATTCACAAGTTAGTGCTGTTTCAAGTCAGGTGTTTCGTAATTTTGCAGAAGAATCTTGAGCGTGCAAAAGTAAGACAGTCACAAACAGCGTGTACTATTTGCATAGTTTTGCATCATAATTTACTGAGAGTAAACAATGCTGACTGATTCTAACATTTTTATCTCTTGTGGATGAGAAAGTAATGATATTGCAACACACTGTGCTTTTCTATTTGTTATTACAGAAAATAGGGCACATATTGCCTCATCCCGCAGGGAACAAAAACACACAACGTTTCATCAAATTCTTGGCAGTAAACAGTTAACGGCGGCAGCTAACAGCAGAAAGTCGGATATGTGCTGCAGGGAGGAAAGTCCAGCATTACTGCTTTGGATATTTACCAGAGAGGTTACATAGGTTTGTGAATATGAAAAGATCTTTAATTGATTGTTATATTTATATATAATATTTTTGCATTGTTTATAGTCATCAAAGTCCTGCCACAATGTACAGTGGTATGCACAATTTGCAGTGTTTGGATTAAGGAACTACAACCATAAAAACTATTTTTGTATCCGATTAAGAATGTTTCCAGCTTTACAAATTTTCACTACTGGTTTTCAGTAGTATATTATTTTAGTATAGATGTGAGCATGGTCTCATTCAAACAGTTCCCAGTGATTAAAATGAAATGAACAAAGTCCAAAAGTGACTAAGTGGCCTACGTGACTGATAAAAATACTAAAGAAGACAGATTAACAAGAAAAACATATAAAGAAAAATATAATAAAATACAAGAGTGTGTAAGAGTGTGTAACAGTATGTACATGAATACTACTACTGACTACTCCATGCATCAGTAAAACATGTTCCCATATGTAACAAGTCTGATTACATAGATTTCAGATTCTTATCTTGGACTTTAAAGTTTAATTATGCAAGAGGATTTAACATGGGCTCTTGAGAAATGATTTCCTGAGGGTTATCAGTTTCATAACTGGATATGAACATCCAAGAAAACCAAACACTCATTTCAAATGAAGTAATTTCATGGTGGCAGTGGAACTAAAACTTTACAGTATTCAGTGACCTGAGGCAACTGCACTCTTATCTGACAGAGAAGCTGTTCATTTAGGAAGTTATCTCTTCTGAGAGTCAGCACTTTGGCCTTACTGTCACCGTTTCATTTTAAATCCACTGAGCTACAAATACAGAGTCAAAGTAATACTGTCGTCTGATATTAGCTTGTCCCAACTGAAGGCAGAGTCAGTCAGTTGGTCCACTACTTTTGTCCAGACACAAATATCTGAACAGCTATTGGATGGATTGCCATGAAAACTTACACAGACATTTATGTTCCCCAGAGGATGAATTCTTTTGACCTTAGTGAACCTCACTTTTCATATAAAGCCACCAGCAGGTCAAAGTTTTAACTCATCATAAAAAATGTCTCATGTTCCCCCTCAGTCCTGAAAAACTAAGATGTATTTGTGTTTAGTGCTGATCAGCAAATGTTAACATGCTAATACACTAGGGTGAACATGGGAAACATTATACCTGCTAAACATCACCAAGATAGAGTTGACGTTGTGTACTTGTTAGCATGTTGGCCAATAGCTACAAGCTGTGCCTGTAGCTGCAGCCTCACAGAGTAGCAGAGCTGTAGATTTCTTAAAGTAGAATTTAAAGATCCCCTCCAGGAATATTCAAAGACTCAACTTTGAATAATAATTTGTGACTGATATGGTTTTTCAATTAAAAAGTTCAATTATCCAGTTAAAAATTCTAAAATGACTTGTGACTGTGACTGTGCTTCCTTCTTCATTGAAAAAGTCAGAATCTATGAATATGCAATTATTTTTGATTTGAATGTACAAGTTTCCACATCACACTTGTGTAACCCAACTATTGGGCCAGGACTGACTTTTAGATGAGCACAAAAAAACTTTACCTTCAGCAGATGAACCAGCCATCCACTGTCAAACTCTGCACAGACGCAATTCAGCAAAGTGGAATATCCAATACAATGACCAAACCACATACTGTTCACTACTTTTACTGTTCACACGATAAATGACACAGCGACTGTCACTGACCGAGAGAAATCATTCAGCTAAATGCTGCTTGTTTTGTGTTGTATTATTCACAGCATGACTTCTATCAGAGCTTATGCCCCCTTGGCAGCATGCTATAGATATATTGACCTGATCTGGCTACTGGGACCCCACATGTAATCAACCAGAACTCATCTTATCTATTGCTGGAAAGCAGAGTCAAACATATGATATGACCCTTACTATAACATGGAATGTTTCTAATATTTATTTATTAGGTTCACAGGATTAGGTTACATGACTCTGGAACCTATCAACATTTCTTCAGTATTTATATATGGGAATGAGCTTCGATCTCCATTTCAGTTTCACTGTGTTTGAGGCTGAATGACTTCACTGGCTCAGGGAGATTTTTGAATACAAAGACAGTGTCAAGGCAAGGGCAAATAAGTGAGTCCTGCAACGTGTTGTCCAGTGTTTCCAATTAAATCTGAGGGTAGGGGTCTCACTTGAGTGCCATCGTCTCTGCTCCCTGGGGGAAACAAAGAGGATGGGACATGACCCAGGTGCCAGACATGATCAAAACCGTGCACATGGGCCAAGGCCATCAGGGGCAAGACTAAACAAATGCATAAGAGAGGATGGATGCATTTTATGCCCTCTCGTACTGTAGTAGAGTCACCTCTCATTAGTACAATGTAGCCTAGTATATCTCCCCAGCTCTATTTCCATCTGTCTCTTTCATTGCGTGTCTCTGTTACAACTTAGGCACATGAATGAGAAAGCTGTCAGTGTGAGAAGTGAGCGATGATGTACGGCAAAGAAAAAAAACAAATACTAAAGACTTCAACAATGTTGGAAGCTGTGAGGGAACAAAGCATGAGAGATGTTTGGGAGGTGAGGAACAAAGGAGATGATGAGCAGGGATGGGAGAGACACGTCAAAAGGCGAAGGTGGGAGGAAAGGATGGGAGAGGATAGTAAAGTGCTGCTGTGGACTTTACCTTGAGGCTCTAGGGGAAGAGCGTGTGCATGTGCTAAGGACTGCAAGCCGTGCAGAGGGCGAGGGGAGGGGAGGAGAGGGGAGGGGAGGGGAGGGGGAGCCCTCCACAGAACGAGGGAGAAGCAGAGGAGGGAGAGGGGAGAGGCTGAATCACAAGGACAGAGAGCTGGAGAGAGTGAGAGGCTTTGTGCTTAATGTGTGCTTCTCAGGAGAAAGAATGATGAGAGGACTACAGCTCCACTTTCTTCTTCACTGGACGATTTCAAACCGGATTTTACTTCCACTAAATCAGAGCTTTAATACTGGATTGTGTTCCTGTTATCAACCTCTGTATGCACAAGTGCTCTATGGTCCATGACAGTGGAAATGCTGGTAAGATCATCCCATTTGATTTTTTTTTTTTTTTTTGTGAATGTAAAGTATGTGTGTTATTTTATGGCAGCTGCTTTCCATAATAAATACCACAGTGAGGAGCTGAAACATTTTTACATTTGTGGTTTGTTATTGCTAAACTTCTGTTTGAGCGGTGATTGAAAATGTGCGAGAATGCATTCACAAATTCATTGGCATATGACTAATTGGTTTGTTTAGAGTGCTTAACTCTTAGTGCTCTCGAATTATATTAATTCGTAATTAGTGACATATTAAAAAATGACAAGTGCTGTTTGTCTCTGGAGTAGATGGTTTCTATATTATTAGTTTAAGCTGACTAACAAATTTTTCCAGTCATGTTAAAGAAATTTAATTACAATGATTATAATGAATAAAATATTTAAATTAAGTGATTCATAACGAGCAATTCTTTCCCAAGAGAAAAATTATCTACCAATCACTGGAATTTAATAGGAAAATATTATTTGTAAAAACTCTGTAAATATTAAATCATTTTTAAATAATTTTGATGCACACAAACATTGACTATCTCATTCCTGCACACACATGGACACAGACACACTCAGTGCTGTTGAATTTCAATTGCAGTCTTTACTGCAGTTGTTGCAGTTATTATTGTTACGCATTTAGATTACAAGAAGGACTGTTCAGTGGGCAACTATTCCAGAAAATTGAATGTGTTCCTAAACAAAGAGCAACAATGAAATAGTTCCTAACAATGTTTTATCCTCCATTCATATAACTGTTTTGACCCAAGGGGTTTGAAATCAGTTTGGTGAAACTGTTTCTTGTTAAACTAAGGTCAGATGAGAAGATCATTTCCATTAACAGAAATTTCAGCCTCTAATGGATCTTCAAAATTCCTATTTCCAAGTCAAAAATCACACAAGAATGAAACAGTGAAGTGTATCCCTCCTTGGCGTCTGATCACTCAGGCATGAAGCAGCTGTTGACTGAAAGTGTGGTGGGTGTGACGTCCATTAGCAGTGTGTAATTTAGACTGGGAGTCATTGGAGACGGCACGTACACATACACACAAATGCATAAACATATACACACTCCACCACACATTCAGTGTCAGCGATTGATTCGACACTAATTTACAATACTCACTGGGTCCCTAAATGTGGGTACAACAGAAGAAGACAAAATTGTAGGAAATAAGGGTTTCACCATTTTGTGTTCGATAAATTACACTGCAAGTACTTTTTTAATTACTGAGTAACTCTTTAATAATTACACTGTAGGCTGCAACAGTAATATTACTGGATGTCAGGGCGGGAACAATGGCGTAACAGACTTGATACTGAAATTAAACAGTTTATATTAGAATTATGATAAATTCACAAAAATAACTTTGGGAAATTGAAACGTAAGACTAAAAAAAAACAAAAAAAAAAAACAGTTTTTTGTTTTTTTTTTCTTTTACAGTATTGTGGCTCCTGGGGAACAAAACATTAGCCTGGGGAGAAGAGTGTGCCTTTATATTTACTATACTATACTATACTATACTAACTATAAAAGGAATTTATAGCTTTATGTTTGTGTTTTTAAATATTGGCCTGTTAAATAATGTTCCATTGTTCATCCCATTTTCTCTGTAAATACAGTGAAGTTAATGAGTATGCAGACTGTAAAAGAGACTGGTCCCTTGTTCAACCCCTTTTAACTGTAATTATGGTGAAGGTACATGGTATATTAAAGTTTATGTTAATATTTTTTTGCTCTGTCTGCTGGCACCCTGTTTACTCAATAGGTACTGGGTAATTTCAAAAGTACAGAGAAATTCAGTTCTAGGTTCTAAACGCAAAGTTGTTACTTCCTTGTTTTACTATACTTCTTCACTTGTATTTATATCTACCCAGTAAGTATTTCCTTGGTACCACTTGCATACAACATATATTGTATATACACAACAACTTAGAATTAGCCTAAATTTTGAAATATTGAAAATATTTACCTTTACACTATTCATATGTCTTGAAGTGGGAGCAATTTTAACTGGAATCATCGGCTTAATGATTTTTATTAATGCTATTCTGTGCTAAAATTACAATCAATTGAAAAACTAGAGTAAAATGATTGTTGGGTCGCATAGCAAGAATAAATGCAGCCAGGGAAAACTAAAAACAAAAAAATTCACAGCTATGAGCGAGACACTAATACAGGGAAAGATACAACAACAACAACCAGAAAGTAACACTGGTTATGTGTTTGTATCTGTGCTAGTGTGTGTATGAATGTGTTGCTTGTGCACTTCTCTGACAACCACAAGGGAAACAAACACAGACAGAATGACAGGCCAAGATGTGAAGAGAAAGTCGTCCTTCTGCTCATGTGCTGTGGCAGTCGGCCCCAGGCGGCTCTGAGCCAGCCTGTCCATTATTACTGCACATGACCCTTCTGTGGATCAGGCGACCTGGCCTGAGAGCCCTGACCAAGCCCCCACAGTCTTCCTACATATGCCTGACCTGTCACTCAGGGACGTGGCCCTGTCAAAGAAAATTCACCAGATGCGTGTACAACAACCTGAACCTAAACGCAGCTATTCCAGCACAATGGTCTCCAGAGAACAAACTGTCAGCATTATTAAAGGGGCCCCGATTGTGCACATGTTGTCAAAATACCGTTAATCATGGCTAAAATAATGGGCAAAAACTACATGGCTCCAAGGATTTCAGTGTTAGGTCTGTTCAATCCGTTGGTCCACCACTTCAGAAAGAAATATCTTGACTGCTACAGGATGGATCGCCATTCAATTTCACACAAATATCCACAGTCCCTAGATGATACATACTTTGGGGATCCCCCGACTTTTCCTCTGGCTCCACCACAAGGTTGACATTTGTGGTTCAGAATGAAATATCTTGACAACTATTGGATGGATGCTGTGAAATCAATATTCAAGGGTGCTAGAGGATGAATTGTAATGACTTCAATGATCGTCTGACATTTCCTATAGTACCGCCATCAGGCCACAGTATTGACTTATTCAAAACAAGTGGTATTCATGTATTGAATATGATGTTGAGGTATTCAGGTATTCAGACTTAGTGTTGTTTTATTTAACGGTAGTTTCATATTCAGCCCCATAAACATTTAATAAATCACCTTGATTTTTTTTTTCCCCCACACTTGCTTACAATTACACAGCTGCTAAATCTCCACCCATAAGACCAAAAACACCCTGTTTGAATTCAGTTAAAGGCCAGTGTTGTTAGCCAATGAGAATCCAGTCATGTGACTGTGAGACAAGCTCCTTGTAACTCCAGAACTTGCCTGAGAAACGTCACATTTTTACAGTAAGTTTTCTGTACATCCATGGGTACACTGCAAACAGGAATTGCTAATAGCTTATTCATCATACTTCTAATGGTGTCGATGTATCAACATGTAAATAGTATGCTTAAAAAAACAACAAAAAATAGGGTTGAAGTTGTAGCCCACAACTAATTAACTGTTTCCACAGCAACAGTACACATTGTCTCTTTTTTATATAATCTGAAAACATGAGGACTATTTTTTTCATGTTATTTTCAGATTTCATATTGTGATGAAAATGGGAAAACAGTTCACAAGAGCCAACACACACAGAATAATGAACAATCATTCAGCCGTCTGCCTTCTTTTGCTGTTAAAGAGATGATCAACACACAGATGCAGGACATGTTGACCTGCTTGGTATTTCATTCTCCCCTCACTCAGATCACAAGTAGATCTCTTAATTTGTACTGATTGTGAAGATGTTGGGATTGTATCTCCTTAACAGTAGAACTGTGTGTGTTGTATGTGTGTGTGTGTGTGTGTGTGTGTGTGTACACTATCTTTGCTGTCAGCTGCTTGTCTCACTACGCCTGAGGTCTTGCCACAGGGAAGACTTCCGCCTGTCATCTTCACTCAAGGTAAAGTCAAAAAGCCCCTTAATGAGGTTCGTCCTCTATCCTCCCAAAAATAATTTTTCTTTTGTTTTACCACCAGTGCCATCACATAGTTCTAAAAATACCATCCATTTTGCCATCCTGTGGTGCTGTAAATGTGTAAAATTATATGTTATGTAAAACATTTTATGATTTTTCTTTTGATAACCCCATTTAATTGCACATTTTAATTCTCTTCATCATCTATCTGGCTGAATGATTCAATGAAAAATATAATCCACTCATAAAAAAAGAAGCTGAGTCAAAGGAGAAACCATGTTTGGTGTCGAAAAATGTCCCCTTTCCCTCCCACTCAGTATTTCAGGTATTCACTAGATTCTTTCGTAATATTGACAAAGACTCTGTTGTGAATCTCGGCCTTGATCACTTTGACAGATAGAATGTTATCATTGTTGCTGCAGCTGCATATTTGTGTCATAGATGTGAAGTGAGTTGTGAGGTGCAGTGAGAAGCACAAATGCAGACCGATTTTCTCACAATCTGACGTTGACTCGTTATAGAAAATGATTCAGCAAAACCCAGGATTACATTTATTTAACGTATATCTGAATATTAAAACGTTAAATGAGTGACTCCCACAATACAATATATGTGCATGGCAAATTAATCATGGTTAATGTATGGTTAAAGTTAGGCAGCTAGAGCTACTTGAAAGATTTGACAATGTGAAAGGTGATTAACCTGCAAAGGATTATCACCTGAATCAAAGCTCCCTTAATGTTATTTTTCATTTTCAGCAAAGCCCTAAAAACCCACTGTACGCCACCTGCTCAGCACCAACAACAGACAGACAGAGTTAGTGACTAGCTGATAATTAGCATAGTGGAGCATTTAGCAGCTAAAGATACCTCAAATGTAAGTACTGTCACCGTACAGGCATGTGTATTGAGGTTTGTTTTTTTCTTTGTAAGGTCAGAAAGAAAGGAAAACAGTATTTAAAGGAAAAAATACTTGATTTTGCAATCATTATCATTATTACTTTTACACATACAGCGGTGGAGCCTGTGGGACCCCAAACAATGAAGAAATACAGAAAGTTTCAACAGAACACAAGGGTTAATTCCTTGGGAGCCTCGGCTGTGCCTGTACTTAATCATGCTTGAGCAACATAAGCTTCTGTACACAGATGTCGCTGCCTGTTGTAAAAAAAAAATGCACAGACTCACATAATTTCATGCTGTCCTCTCTGAAAGCTAGTATGATGAGCAAATAACAAGCCACTGTAGAACAGTACAGACCAGTATAGAGGCTTCAGACAATAGTACCAATCAGACAGTCATTCAACAGCCTCTCTGCCCGAGCCGTTTTCTCACCTGAACTAGAAACATGGCCAACTGAGATCCGTGCCGTGTGCTAAATTTAAGACCATGGACTGATGAGTGGGAGTAAGCTGGATGTAGGAGTAGTGGTCAGAGTGGTCCTATGGGAAGTGGAAGAAAATGATACTACAAGATTTAGAAACTACACAAACTGTGACACTGGATGACTAAACATGGAGAACGCTGTTTCGATTTAATTACAAAAATGTGCACCAGCAAATACATTTTGAAAGAAAGTTGATGGCAACCGGAATATGTTTCCCATTTACATAATGAAGAAATGTTCATTTATATATATGGCATATCGCAACAATATAGATACTGAACAAGTGAGGAAAAAGTTCACTGACAATAGAGTGATGCGGGGATGAGGTATTTTTTCTAGGCCAACCCGGAAGTTAGCATCACCCTGGTTCCCTTGACAAAAAGTCAATAGGATTTTTCCATTAGCTTTTGGATTATTGTAGAAAAGAAGATCTGCGACAAACAAAAGTTTATGATACTTACACGTTTTGTTCAGCAGGATAATGAACACCACTTCATGATTTTTGAAGCCTAAATACAATCGCTAGCAGTAAACAGCTCATGTTTGGCTATAAACAAACTACACCATGGTCACAACTTCAATGTCACCACAGCTAAACTTCCAACTAGTTTGATTTAGTGCACTTACAAGTGTCCGTATAATACAACATTGTCCCGTATTTCAGAATAAAATGCTACATATTTACTGTAATATTGTGTCATACATCAAGCCAAGCACATAGAAGGTGGCAACCCTAGCGCTTACGTCTTCTACAAAAGCCTTTCCTCTTACAAAATTTTGGTTGTGTGGCTTGGTTGTATTAAGACACAGTATTTTTTTTTACAGGTTAACACAACAAAACTACTTTACTGGTTGTGGCAGACGAGGGACATTGAATCAAGGCTCTTTCTAAATATTCATGAGGAGGGATGCACCAGTGATGTCGAACAACAATGCATGGCAGCACGTAAATTACTGATTTGAACTCATTGCAAGCTACATACACCGCAAAAGAGACATTACAGCATTATCAGCAAGAAGTGGAGGATCAGACACATACGCACAATATTACATATGGCTACTCATACTTGCCGGTACAAACACCTAGTGGTAGGACTGGTAATATTACAAGCAAGTCCAGATTTGGAAATTATTGATATTGATATTAATTGAAACTGAATGAGATAAACAGTGCATCTTAATGATAAAGGTTAACTGCATGCATTAAGGCAAGCCATAGCTGAGCCTCATATTTTGGGTTATTAGGTCCACAAACTCATCTGCTGAGAGCAGAAAATTGCCAGTTGATCAGTGTCAAAAAGTAATCAAATGTACTTTGATTCAATGCCGGTTCAAACAATAAATCATGAAAAGTTCTGTGGGAATTGAATAATTTTTATAGGTACTAGATAATGACATTTGATTAAAAATATGGATTTCTGCTTTATGTAACCATTTCATTATCTATGCTTTTGACACTGCATTTAAATATGATAAAGATTTGTCAAGTTGTATTATAGCTTACCATTTTATAAATGTTTATTATTAAAGAATTTGAACTAGCTTTTTCTACAGATGATTAAAAATAATGAATTTAATATGTGGATGGAAGATTGACATTCAAATTCAAAGTAATCAATCCTATGTGAACTTCAGTATGCAATCTCTTAATTAAACCCTGAACAATATGCAGGTCATTGATGGCACAAGCACAAGAGTTTGTTTTTTTATCTGCTTCTCATTATTCTGAGGCAAACTCACAGCTGATTACAGTTAGAGGATTTCCAGTCTCACAGCTCCGATGTTTCGTTGACTATGTTTCTGTGCTCAAAGCCGTGGTGAGAACGTGGGATTTAGTTTGGTTTTGCTCTGGTCTGAATATGTCCATTCCTGTTACCCTTTGTTTTCTTAGATGTGTGTACCTTCCTGCTCTCCAGTCCAGTGAACAGCATAAATGATTGAAGGACCCGTGTATTTAGTTGTCAGCTGAGAGAGACATTTGGTACTGAACTTAGAGTTTCTGCATGGGTACTGACAGCATCGAGGTGCTTCCAACAGTGTTAGGGCACAAAAAAAAAAAAAAAAAAAAAAAAAAAAAGGGTAAAAAAAAAAAAAAAAAAAAAAAAAAAAAAAAAATCACTGTCCGTACTGGGCCACCACTTTGGTTGGAAATAAAGGACTACCTGTGCATATGCTTGTTTTTCTTTTTTTCTTCCACATCCTCCAAGCCATTGTTGAATTATGTGCTTGGCTTGATGTTTGACACAATATTACAGTAAAACAATAAATGGTATTTTTCAAAAAATGATCCATGTACAGCTATGAAATCCGCAGGTAGGTGTGTAGAGTAAAATATGCAAAGAAAGTCATATATTCTTAATTGTGGTCTGATATTGGTGGCTTTCAGAAATTATAAACTAAACATCACAATATGTATTATTTAAATCACTGTTATGCAGGTGGTACAGATTAATATATGTAGCTCTTTACACACTACTCGCTCCAAATTAATAAATATAGCTGGAAGGGAGACTTGAGTTTCTAGCTAAAAGCCAAAGCTAAAAGCTATTTAGAGGGCCCAAATTGTCAAGTGTTATCAACTCCCATTATGTGATTATCTGTGACAGAACAGTATTTTGAGAATTTTCAACTTTCAGTGGATTGATAATATAACGGTAAAGGTTGATTATGCAAATGGTTTGTCTCTTTTAGCACTGAAAACCTTCTGTTACACCTAAATGTAGGGTGAACTTGCCATAAGTTAGAAAGATGCAACACACCGAGATCATGCATTTTCTTTTGTATGTCAAGTATGTCCATCTACAGTTTTGCCTGCTTATGTCCATGACATGTTTTTATAACTCTATGGTGGAATTGGATTTTGGAGGACCTCATAACGGTAAAGTTAGTGGCTCAGATGTTTGATGGATGCAGTGTAAAGACCACTGTGTCATCAGAGTGGCCATTCTTTTGTCTGTGTGTCACACAGTTTGGAGCAATGCTTTGATGACCGGCCGTATTAGATAAGCAAGTTAGACACACTGTTCACCACATTTCTCTCATTTGTACAGATGATTTAAACGTGTTCATTTGTATTTTTCAACAGGACAGTTTCTCAGCCCAGGACATGGTCTCCTGAGCAGCCCTACCACCAGCACGTCACGAGCATAGACCAGTCTATCCTGGGCCATGACTGCTCTGCTTCCCAACGTCAGCGTCCCTGGGAGTACAGCAGTCCTGCTGGCGACCACAGACTGTCCGTTTAACCTTACTGCAGCTGCTCAGGCAGGACTTGGGTCAAGTCAATCTCTAGCCCCCCTCTGTACCCTCTGTTGCTGTGGGTTTCTCAATCGCACCTTGGCTGTGGTGTTCATGGTCAGCCTGGCATTTGCCATCGTGGTTGGAAATGTGGTCACACTCACTGTCTTTGTGCAAACGAGGCAATCGAGAACACCGCAGGGATACTTGAAAGGTAAATGTTGTGAACCATTTCACCACTGAAACTTTTTTATTTCAGTGTTTCAACAGAACAGTCTGAATGTGTATCCTGAGCTCTCTTCTTGTTGTTGTCTCACTCTCTCTCTGACAGTGTCTCTGGCCATAGCAGACATGATGGTTGGTGTCCTCGTGGTCCCTTTCTCTGTCTACACTGAAATCTCTCTGATGGTGACGACCGCTCCTCCCAGTTGGTACCAGGGTAGCTCTACTTCCCCGGCCTCCACCTCCTCCCTTGGCGGACTAGTGAGCCCTTGGCAGCCCTGCATGCTGATTGGTCCAGTGTTCGCTGGATGCACTTTTGTCTCCATCAGCACAATCTTCCTCATGACCTTGGAGCGAAGTGTGGCCATCCTACGGCCACTCCACAAGGACGCCCTGGTGACCCGGAGACGAACTCTGCTCCTCATCCTGCTCTCTTGGGCTGCCAGCTTCCTGCTGGCTCTTGCGCCTCTCATCTTCAGCAGTAACTTCACTTTGGAGTACAACGAGTGCAGTCGTATGTGTAACTACACCCCACTATTGTTTGGAAGCCAGCTGCCGCCTGATGCCAACATTTTGCTGTTATTCCCGGCATTTGACTTCACACTGCTCGGTGGCACGTTAGCAGTTAATATTGTGTCTTTCACTAGCATTCGAAGGTACTCCCGAAAACGCAAACTCCTCTCAGAGGGGAGTCTTAGTGATGGAGGGGGAGGAGGAGGGGGAGGGTGCTCTCACAGACCCTCCTTTTCAGACATTAAAGCTGCCAAGACAATTGGCATTCTAACATTTGCCTTCACAGCGTCCTTCTCTCCCATCGCAGTGTTTGTGCTCGGGAACGTGGTGGGATACACCTGGTGTAACTTTTCCTTTTTTGCCTTCTGGATCCTGACAGGAAACAGCTGCTGTAATGTTATCATCTACAGTGTCAGGGACCACCGCTTCAGGAAGGGTGTGACCCTGCTCTTTCAGCGAGACCGGTCCCCCCCACACAGCGAAAAGACTTGAGGGATACATTCATTCATACAGTAGCAACAAGCTTATGGTTTGTGGCTGCACCTCAGTAAATTAACTTTAAAGGAATAGTTTCAAATTTTGAGGAACATGCTCGTTCACTTTGTTGCTAAGGGGATAGATGCCGCTCTCGCGTTTGTGCAGTAAACACGAAGCTGGAGTCAGCAGCTGGTTTGCTTAGCTTGGTGTAAGGACTGTAAACAAGGGGAAACAGAGAGAATGGTGAAGGTAATGCACCTTCAAGCAGTTACCATTCTTCGTGCTAAGCTAAGCTAACCTTTTCCTGGTTCAAGTTTAATATTTACTATATATTTGTGAGAATGGTTTCAATCCTTCCATCAACCTCTTCACAAGAAAATGGAATAAGCTTATGTCCCAATCTGTCAAACTATTTCTATTACTATTTCAAATGTAAACTCCATGTGAAACTAACAAAATTAGGTCATTTAAAAACAAAAGGATTGCAATTCTTTGTTACTGAGAATTGTAAATAGAAGAGAAATTTTAAATATCTGACCTCCATCCACATTTATATTTGGACAAGCAAACCTATATCTATGCATTGCATGATAAAACAGCTTTCATGATTGGACCAAACATGTACTGTAGGTCTTGAGGGAAAGGGCCATTATTTGAATAAACTGCATAAACTTTGTAGCTACTCTACTGCCACAACAGTCCGCATCCTCTCCTCTCGTCTCATTGCCTCGACTTCCTCTGACATCAAACCTCTTTCCTGAAGCTTTACAGATGAGAGGGCTTTTGTGAGCCCTTCGATAACTTCAGGATCAAACTTACTGTGTCTGCAGGAGGTGCACTGACAACCACAAAGACCACACAGTTCATGTCTTTATGCCAGTAGTGGGTTTGTCTTCTTATTAATTTACAAGGGGTGTTATTTGTGTGTTTAGAAATCTTGCTACTGCCTCCTCTTTGGAATAATGTGGATTACAAATGTTTCAGTTAAAGAAAACAGGAAAGAGTTCATACCATAGATTTGATTGTGTGTCTAATTTCAATCTTTTGAGATAATAATCTGCCTCAAGTATCAGAAATGCACTTTATCAGTTAGGTGAGCCATTTGCATTCTGCCATTTGTCAGAACAATGTTAATTTTGTACAAGTTTTATTTTTGGCATTTTATAATATTGGTCATTTTTTTCTGAGCAAATGTGTTTCAAGAGAATGATCTGAATATTTATTAAATCTGTACAGATTAAATGAATGGGATGCCAAACACAGAGATTCAGTACAAAAAAGCATTAAGATTATAGCAGACCCTCATACTGTGCTGGCTTATCTTTTCAGGGTATAATGTATTTGTAACATAAAATGATCTCATCAGTGTGTCAGCTATAAGTCTTGTGTATTGTTTGGAATTCTGTATCGTACAATTTGACTATATAATAATATACATATGAATGGGGATGAGGAGCATTTCACATCATTAAATAGCTATATTTTCATTCATGATAAAAAACAATGTTTGCATTGCATTGAATTTTGTTGTAATTAACAGGCTTTTTATATTGTAATAATTCAGCCACCACATCAACAAAAAAAAAGGGGAAATGAATAATAGATTGTTTTTTGTTTTTTTTTTTGCATTTAATTACTCTAAATTGTTTCCAGATTTATTTTGTGAATATAAAAACATTATTCCTATAGCTCAATCGATGTGACACTAAAAGACAAAAACATTTTGTCCTGTTTACCATGAAGTGCCCATTAAAGGAATAGTTTGACATTTGGAAATGGTGCTTATTTGCTCTCTTGCCGCGAGTTAGATGAGAAGATTGATACCACTGTCATATCTGTCCATTAAATATGGAGCCCCAGCCATGTGACAATTAGCACAGCTTAGCAATTAAGACTGGAATCAAGGGAAAACAGCTAACTGGCTCTGTCCAAAGATTAGAGAAATACACCTAACTGTAAATATAAAGCTTGCTAATGTCATTTATTGAATCCCTACTGAACGAAAAGTGTAATGCAGTGACTTCCTGGAAGTCATAACTTCATATAACTTGCATAATACCACAAACAGTTATTTTTACACTGGCTGTAGCTTCATATTTGCCATACAAACATGACTACTATCTTCTCATCCACCACTCAGCAACAATGTAAATAAGTGTATTTCCCCAAATGTCCAATTATTCCTTTGAAGCCAACTGATCGACAATCCAGTGCATGTTCATGGAAGAATTTTTTTAATATCAAGGGTGCTGTGATACACTGCAAGTTGATCCAATAACAAACATCAGGGAATTTAATGGTCAACAAAAAGTAAACGAATCTAACAAATGTTAACATGTCGTGTATGAACTTCACTGAATGAATGAATATCTTACATGTACAAACTTACAGCCGTTTGGCATTTTCCACCAAAAACTGTCACAATCGTGGAAAAGTTTGAAATCTACAGCATCCTAATCATCGTTGGTTCTGTGTAAGAAAACAAATGATTATTATTGTGCTGATATTGAATCACTGTACAGAGTTGTATCATTAGTGCATAATTAATCAATGGTGACTGCATCAGATTTGGTAATAATAAATGTGTTTGGGAACATTTCATTTGTGAGTTTAATGGGGTTCACTGTGACTGTAATGTACTCAGCTCACTGCTGTAATATTCACAGCCTCAGCAGTTGCACAAGCCACGGGAACACCACTTCAGCGTTTCTCCATTTACTCTGGCATATTATTGGCTTCATCCCACTGGGATTATGTAATGTGGAGGAGAAGGAGCTACAGTAACACCACTGGATACCCAGCATGAGGGGATATTTTAGTAGTCTGCAGGTAAGAAAGCAGAGCGAGGTTTAGTGTGCTGTCTCATCTCTGCACTGAAACATCTAAAACAGAACACAGCTAAGGCCTAAAGACACAGAAGAGAGGATCTTGAGACCTAGTGACCCAAATTGTAATTGAGGAGTGTGTGAGTGTGTGTGTGTGTGTGTGTGTTTGCAGAGAGATAAGGGAAGAGTTCGTATTTTACAACTACTCTGTTAGAGAATGATCTCCCAATTTGAGAAGACACTAGAGAGCAAAATGGAAGGGGTGAGAGGCTGACCGCTAATGTCAGCAGCGATGTGGTAAAAGCGTACTCCACCTCCAGTCCCACCATGAAATAAATGATCCGACACTTGCCTGCTCATGTGACTGAGTCCAAGAATGAGAGCCATGAGAAAGAGAACAGAAGAGAGGAGGGGGGGAGGGAGACGGAGAGAGAGAGAGAGAGAGAGAGAGAGAGAGAATCTTATGTGTCACTTATTATTGCATATTCACTACATATCTGAACAGCCTGATTTGTACTGGCAATATCATGAACCAGTACATTATATCCTTACATTAACAGTCCTATGAATCGTACTCTTTGTGTCTGGTATTGGATCTTTGGAGGATACTGGCTGACAGCATTGTTCACCGTCTAGAGGCTTTTATACGCAGATACTGTGGTAGTAGACTGACTCACTTAACCGGGAAATTTGCTGCAGGGCGGTGGCAACTTTCCCAGATATATCTTATTGTAAACTGAGCCCATGCATGTCTGGTGGTTTGTGTCAAATCATCAAAGTCCCTTTGTAGTTACTGTTGTTTTTTTTTTTTTATATATTTTGTTACTGTCTGGCGTGTTTGAAGCTGCATTAGTCAAACAAAGCCAGCCAATAAAATTACAAAGCTGATGAAGCAGCTACTGTTGTGTTTGCAAAGTTGATTCACTGTGTTGTTGGCTACTGCTGGTGTCTAAATACCATTTCTGAATATAAATGACACAATACCAAACAATTGGAAATTTAACTGTTTGTTTACACACCATCTGAATCCACCTCAGGCTTCATCCACCTGTTGAACATGGCACCAATTTCCTATATTGCGCCAGTTTTTATATCTTAAAATTGGCTCTTCATCAAATTCAGAATTCACTTCAATGTCCTTGTTATCACTTCTGAATGATCGAGTTCAGAGACATATTACTATATAATTACACTATGTGACTAGTGGGTCAGTACCAGGTCCTATAAACATGGCCTGTTGGATTTACCTCTCTCTGGGCCCAAATCAAAGGCAATTGCACATCCTATGTCAGACTTTGCAACACTCTTCCCTAGATCTTGTGTTTATATAGTACTAATTTGCATCATGTCACAATTTAAAACCAAAGGCAGGATCCTGCTGCCCAGGTGCTCCGACATGTGTGTGCTTGTGCACAATACAAACAAATGGAGACCCGCTTGTAAAAACATTGCTACATAGCGCTACTAGTGGTCAAAAACTACACAGGGCACTTTTAACGTAATCTGTGCAGTAACTGTGTTGCTTTCTGAACAAATACATCAAAACAAACCAGCAGTGTCTGGATGTAATTTCTACAAGATATGCTGGACGTGCTGCTCACATTGAACTGAGGAAGTAGCTCGAGACTCACTAGCCTGTGTACACTGGGATTTAGGGATCACAAATGATAAACTGAAAACCAGGCTGTTGTTACAATCAGATACACTTACCGCACAGGACCTGGTGTGTCTGGTTTCAAGACAAAAATATCACAACAACATTGTTTGCACACTCTAAAGTCTTGATTTTCCAAACCTCAGACAGCAGAACAGTTTACACAACAGGCTACAATTGAGAGATTGACGGATTTAAAGAAGAAACATTTAGCGTTTATGTAAGAAGGTTTAAAGTAAGATGTAAGGATGACTTTTCCATGGATATTATGACAGTGCTACTTTGTAAATTTGTGGGCATAAATCATAGGACTCCAACACCGTTAACCAATCACACAGCCACTTCAGAGGCATTAGAAAGCTACTTCTCATATTGAATGTAATTGGCAAACAAAAAAGGCTTTCCTCAGTAACAATGTGTGTAAAATTGCAGAGAATGTAATGTCATGTGTAACTGCTTGTGACTGAAAATGTTTGTGGGAGTCTGATCAAAGGTGTTTTGTAGTACAGGAAGGTTTCAAGAAGGAAAATACAAATTCAGTCCCTTATATATGAGCTATAGACAGCCAGAAAAGACTCATTTGCAAGTAAACAAAAAACAGGGATGATGGTTATTTGTTAGTCAGAATCATTTAAATGTGGTCAAATGTGTGGGGATAGTGTGTTTGAGTCACGTTGCCCATCCTAAATCCTGAGGAGTTTTTGTATAGCAAAAACTAAAAATGAATTGGCAATAGTCAAATGGAGAAGTGGCTGTGGCTCAAAACAACAAAGTGCTGCATGAATAAATGCCCCTCCGTCATGTGATTTTTGGCTTGACTGGCCACTTGTATTTTTTTCCAGCTCTGTTTAGATGAAACCAAGCCCACTTTCATATTGGTTAGGATTAGGAACAGGACTTCAGTCGAGGTTTTCGTCAGATGGGAGTGTGCGCGGTTTCATCTAAACTGGGTTGGAAAAAACGATAGACATATAGCCACGGTCCCACGCTGCATCCGTGATAATCCATGACTGAGTGATAGAGTTGAGTAGGTAATGAAGTTTCAACACAGGTGGGCCTAGTAATGGACTTCTGCAATTGGCTGTTGCTCTTTCAAAATGATTTGGTGTGAATATTTTCTATTATGTCATTAGAGGGAGTTTACAGCTGATCCTGTAGTTTTCATTTAAAGCAACTATCCTTATTTTTTTCAAAAAAGCACCTAGCAACAAATTGAGTGACTTTTTGGACAAACCGCTCTCTATGTCTACTCAGCAAAGCAGCAGTTTGTTACCCAGATGGAGGCTGTGCGCTTTGTGACAGACAAAATAAGAAAGATATTTGGTCGTCTCTAACTTTCTCTCTGGGTGATAATTTTACAAGTAAATATTATATATCCGAGATCACAGCACAGCTGCTGTCTTTAACTTATGTGTTTGGTGATTTTTGCTTACAGTGGCTCCACAACAATTCCACACATTGACCGCCATGTACTCGATTTTGACCTAGTCTTGTTAGGGTAATCGCAGGGCAGCCTTGTTTTTTCTAGATAGACTCTGTATCTCTATAGCTACACCACAACACAACCACACGGACACACATGCACAATAATGCCACCAGCAAGAGACATTGTAGACGATAGGTCAGAGCACTTTGGAGCCTCAGCAAGGTTATGTATTGTTGTCTGTCCTATTTCTTTTTTATCCTCTCGCGTTTCATTGTCCTAATGAATTTTTAATTGTCTCTCTAAGCTCTTAAGGCAAGAGATGTGTGTCAGAACCAATAAAGCACAGAGACCACCTGTGGCTGGTGTCTGTTTTTGGCTCGACAGAGGAAAGGGCAAAGGCAGAGATGGCTGAGAGGGGTGACAGGGAGGGGTGGGTTTGCGAGTGATGCTGTGTTTCCTCCACAGGGGCAACAACAAGCCATGTCCACTCCAGGTTCACAAGAGTCCAAACAATCTCCAAGATGATACTGAACAATTTATCTCTTTATCCTCTTTATCCCATCCCTGATCGACTGCAGAAAATGTATTTCTTTCTCTGACAATTTAAGCCAAGTGGGAGAAAACAGGCTGACTAACGGGATATATGATATGTGCACTTTGTTTTACAGCTATGGGTTTGCTGAGGAATAATGAAAAGATAAACACTTGTTTGTGAAACTGTGTTTGCTGACAGTATAGTACAGTGGGCTCATGAGATATACAGACTAAACAAAACACGTGTGAATTGAAAAATTGCATAGCGAAGATATAGTTCAGGTATTCACTCATATACCAGAGGTATAATCACTCCTTGACATGAAGTGATAGCTTGCCGCCTCTTAACTGTAATTTGCTTTCCAAACTTCTGCAAAGTGTAGTGTTTATCTTTCTGCTTTTTCTGACACATGAGTATTGTATATAAGTCAGTCTCATTTTACTGACGATGTGCTGTGTGTGGAGTGCAGGCAAAATCGGCAATGTGTGAAGCTGGTATGATTTAAAAGTTTGTAATAGATTGCCCATGCGGGGTCTCTCTCGTTGAACCTATTTGGATGTTTCTATCTTCTAGAAAAGAGCAGAAGCTCCAGAAACACTAGCTCCATCACCCTCTGTCCATGTTGCTCAGTCCCACACCTCGCAGATATGTCAGCTAGATTATTCACCCATAATCAGAGTGTGGCCCCAGTGATGCCACCGGCCCAGCACACCGAGCCTCAGTCAAGTACAGACTGTTGGTCTGGTGTCAGAACTATCTGGAGTCTCTGCTGACGTTGTCCACTATAAATACACGCACCTGCACAGTTCATCCAAAGTCTCCTCAATAAACTCACTATTGCACTTAGCTTGAGTGGTCCTGTCACTGCAGCCTGTCCTCAGGCAGAGGTGGCTCTGTAATATTTATCACAGGGGTTTTACTGTGTTAGGAGAGGCTGGTATTATAACACAACAGCTATTGCTCTGGAAATCACCAGTTTTCCAGCGAGAGGTGCAACACCGACTTAAAAAGCTTGAAGGCTTTAAAAATGTATCATCAATCTGTCGCATGATTACAAATAAAAACTACAATAAAATGATATATTAATAGTTTCCTCTGTATATTTTTAAATCACATTCAGTCTCAAACGCCAATAAAAGTTTTATTGACTTCCTGTCAG